GTGGCAGCTCATCCTGGGCTAATCCCTGAATCTGCTCTCAAGACCTCCTTTACTCTGAATGCCCAGTGAGCTAACAGCAGCCTCACTTGGGCTCATTTATTTCCCACAATGTTCCTAGAGAGGCAAAGTAGCCACGCCTGGTCTCTGTGCTGTTGCTTGTTCTATCAGAAGGCCTACATTTTTTCATTATCCCCAGCTTCAATTAACGTGCCCTCAAAATCTTCTGAACTCGGGGTGTGAAATCTTTTCTAACATGAAGCAATGAACTCAGACTCTACAGACCAAGCTGAGGCAGACCCGCTCTAGGCTCCTTCCTGTTGCTGAACACAGCTCTGCCTGCGACATCCTCTATAAAGAGAGACCAAGGCATGATTTTTCTTTGAGAACTTGAAAGAAATGTGATAGCCCTCATTCACCTCAGTGTTGTTGACTCAAATCAATCTTAACACTATTCCTTTTTTTAATTGATTTTTTAGAGAGAGAGGGAGATGGAGAAACATCAATGAGGAGAGAGAATCATTGATCAGCTGTCTCCAGCGTGCCCCCTACAGGGATGGAGCTCCCGAACCTAGGCATGTGCCCTGACCTGGAATCCAGCCAGAGATAACTTGATTCATGGGTCCACGCCCAACCACTGAGCCATGCCATGTGTGCAAACTATCTTTTTTATTATAGAGTCTATTAAAAATAGTCCCAGTTTCCTCCATCCTCACTCCCTTTGCTTCCCTCTCTCCTGACCACACCATTCCTAGGCCCTCACCCCATTATTGTCTATGTCCATGGACTATGCATATATGTATATACTTTTAAAAATATATTTTTATTGATTTTGGACAGAGGAAGAGAGGGGGAGAGATAAATACATCAATGATGAGAGACAATCACTGATTAGCTGCCTCCTGCACGTACCTCTCCCCTATCTGAGAATTGAACCTACAGCCCATGTATGTTCCCTGACCAGGAATACAACCATGACCTCCTGGTTCATAGGTTGCCGCTCAACCATTGAGTCACAGCAGCTGCACTATATTATTTAAAAATTTAAAAAACAATGTATTTATTGTTGCTAGTATTACAGATGTCTCCCATTTTCCCCTGTGCATATATTCTTTGGGGGATCTCTCCCAGTCCTCCCCACGCCCCGCTCCTGGGAGATCTGCCAGTCTGTTCCAGTTAACCAGGCCTCTGGTCCCATCTTATCCTTCCCCAGTTCCTCTTGCTGAACAATCACCTTTATTCTCCAGTGTCATTGGCTGGGAACCTAGCCACCCTGTCGGCGTTTGAGAAAACTACATTACCCAGAAAGGAATGGGCCCACGTGGGCGGAGCTAAAGGGCACTTTTGGTGTCCGTGCATCCGGTTAGGGCGGGACTTCCGCCTTCCTCCTCCTGGCGGGCATTTTGACCTCTTCACTTTCTTCAAAGCTTCACAGGCCTCAGCCCACTGGTCGTGAGTAGGAGGAGGCCTAGGAGGCAGCGTCCTTGCTGTGCGGGGTGTGTGTGAGGCTGGTTGGGCACCAACAGGCCGGGAGGGGGGCCTCCGTGCCTCCGGGACTCCTCTCTGCCCACAGCGTTCCCGCAGCCTGACCCCGTTTAACCCCCCAGCCTTGGGGACCGGAGCCTCAGGTCCCGCCGCCCAGGAAGCCGCATCCAGAACAGTGAGTGTCTCCTGGGTGACACAGGGTGTGATGGGGGAAGAGGGCCACAGGCTGCAGTGCCACCTTCTAAGGACACGGTGGTGGGGCTGAGGCAGGAGGATTAGGAAAACCCGCGCCTGTTGTGGGTCTAAAGGCAACAAAGAGATGAGGTGTGGTTTTGCACGAGCGGTTTTACTTTCACTCTCAGAACGCTGGGGCCATAGAGGGTTGTGAAAAAAAGAGGGAATTTCCTGAGGCCGGATTCTAACTTTTCCTAACTTTGCTCAGAGGAAGGACAGACTGGAAGACAGAGGACAGCAGCTGTGGACAGGAAGGGGAAGTCCTGTAAATGATAAGGGAGCTGGCAGAGTGAGCCCTGAGGACTGAGCCCCGAGATAACACAGGCATCTGGAGGGCACCTGGCCTCTGGGCTGGGCAAGGGCACTGAGCAGGTGAGCCCATAGAACAGTGGTTCTCAACCTTCCTAATGCCGCGACCCTTTAATACAGTTCCTCACGTTGTGGTGACCCCCAATTTCATTGTTACAAATTGAACATAATTAAAGCATAGGATTAATCACAAAAACAATATGTAATTATATATGTGTTTTCCCATGGTCTTAGGCGACCCCCATGAAAGAGTCGTTCGACCCCCAAAGGGGTCATGACCCACAGTTTAAGAACCTCTGCCATAGAGCCTGCTGGTAGCCAGGCTCTAAACAGACCATTTTCTTTCCCTGAATTCCCGCAAATGCAGAATTGAATGGTGTACGGGTTTGAGGAGCTTATTTCAGGGCCTCACACACTTATGGCCTCTGACATACTGGTGTCCTGGGACTGTCAGCTGCTCTTGTAGCCCTTGGACCTGGGGACTTTGACCAGACAATAAGCCCAGACTCCTAAGGGTAGGAGTAGGGCTTTATGACGTGGACCTTGTTGTCAAAAGGGAGGTCCTATAGGGTATAGGTTCCAGAATATGCAAAAGCTTAGAGTGAAGAGTGAGCTGAATCAGGAACTGGCAGATAGGATTAAAAAAACAACAACACTATAGACACACACACACACACACACACACACACTACAGGCCCGGTGCACAAAAATTTGTGCACTGGGGGGAGGTCCCTCAGCCCAGCCTGTGCCCATTCACCGTTTAGGACCCCTTGGGGGATGTCCACCTGTCGACTTAGGCCCACTCCCCGGGGGATCAGGCCTAAGCTTGCAGTCAGACATCCTTCTGGCAGCCAGGGAGCCCTTGGGGGATGTCCGACTAAAGGCTTAGGCCCCCAAGGGATCGGGTCTAAACCATTAGTTCGACATTCTTAGTGCTGCCACTGAGGTGGGAGAGGCTCCTGCCACCACCACTGTGCTGGCCAGCCATGAGCCAGCTTCTGGCTGAGTGGCACTCCCCATATGGAAGTGCACTGACCACCAGGGGGCAGCTCCTGCATTGAGCGTCTGCCCCCTGGTGGCCAGTGCGCATCATAGCAACCAGTCATTCCGCCGTTCAGTCAGTGTGCATATTAGCCTTTTATTATATAGGATGTCCCTATTTCCCCCCTTTTCCCCCTCTACCCAGCTCTTAACCCCCCATTTCACTCTGGCTATCACCATACTGTTGTCTGTGTCCATGGGTAGTGCATATATTTTCTTTGGCTAATCCCTTCTTTAAAGTCACTTCTTTAAATTTTTATTTTCAGCTAAGTGCTTATAACTGCACTATTATATATTTTCTCCCATATCATTTAGAATTAAGATATTTTTTAATTGAACCCTTGTAAATTTTAGCAAAAATTAATAAATTATGCTAGAAGCAATTAGGAGATTTTTCATGTAATGCAGATACATTTCAATTAATATTTTATTAATTTTTAATTTTTTAATATTTTAATTTGAAATAATCTCATACATGTAAAAAAAAACTATAAAATACTACAGCATATTATATGTACCCTTCACCCAGTTTCTTAGGTGTTAATAATTTAAACATAACCATTATACAACTAACAAAATTTGGAATATATTTTTCTTATAATCTCTTTAATGTTACTTAAATCCTTTTACTTTGTTTTTGTTAATCTTCACCCAAGGATATTTTTCCATTGAATTTTAGAGAGAGTAAAGGGAAAGAGAGAGACACATTGATTGGTTGCCTCCTGCACATGCTCTGATAGGGACTGGGGATCAAGCCAGCAACTGAGGTACATGCCTTTGACTGGAATCGAACCTGGACCCTTCAGTCCATGGGCTAATGCTCTATCCACTGAGCAAAACAGGCTGCAGCTTAATTCATTTACTTTTAATCTATATGTGTCTTTATATTTAAAGTGGGTTTTGTTTTTTATTCACCCTCATAATCTGTCTTTTAATTGGTGCATTTATGCCACTGACTTTCAGAGTGTTTACTGATAGAGTTACTACCATATCAGGTGGCTTCTGGCGCTTCAGAGGCCGGCCTGGGGCTTCTGGGCCGGCCTGCGGCCCAGGATTGGATCCGATCACAGCCGGCAGGCAGGCGGCTTCTGGGGTCGCACACGGGGCCTGGATGGCGGCTCTCGCTGTCCCGCCCTGCCTGCAGTATGCAAATTAGCTGCCATCTTTGTTGGTGGTTAATTTGCATATCACACTGATTAGCCAATGGGAAGCATAGCGAAGGTACCATCAATTACCATGTTTGTCTATTATTAGATAGGATGGAGAGAGAGATTGATTGATTGATTGATTGATTTTATAGGTAGAAATGGAGGAAGAGAGACAGAGAAACAGTGATGAGCAAGAAACAAGGATTGGTTGCTGCCTCCACAACCCCAGTTTTTTATTCAGCCCACAACCCAGGCATGAGATCTCACAAATGCATGGGTCTATGCTCAACCAACTGAACCACATCATTCAGGACTGCAGATCACTTTAATACAGGGAATCATGGTCACTGTGATAATGGTATTAGTAGCTCAGAAGGGACATTGTGAGCCTGGCTTTCTGCTGGTCCACTCTTTCTGGCAGGTGGGTACCAGAACAGAGCATAGCAATAGAAGTTGAAATGTAGAGTGTGGGGGAGAGAGAATGGTTTTGCAGTGGCCAGGGCCTTTAAAAGATGAGTGGGTGTGAGGTGAATTGGAGGCTGGAGAGTAATTCAAACAATAGGAGATTGGGTTGGTACATATTTATTTCTGTAAACACTCACCAGGATATTGTTGTGACCCTCAGTGTGCCCTGGCTGGGGAGTAACAGTCAGTCTTGTGCATTAGCTTAGTGACTTGAATCTGTGAGACTCTCTGGGCTTGGTACAGAGGGCCTCCACAGCTGGGACTTGAGTAACGGTTAAGTGGAGAGATGTTGGCTGTGACTGGTGAAAGGACATCAAGTGCAGCACCAGGGGAGGTGGGTTCAGGGTATCTGAGATCTGATTGTGGTTCTTCATAGGTTAGATTGAAGGAAAAACAGTCATGGAGAGAGGCTTTCATAGCAGGACTGAAGGCTGCCTCTATGAGTGTGGACTATCAGAGTCAGGGCAGTACGTGATCCTGTTTGAACTTGGCAAGCATTCTCTGGACAACACATGCTGAGTAATAAGTAAGAGCGCAAGGAGATGACTGTGGGGTCCGGGACTGTAGGAGTGGAGGTGTGAGAGAGGTGTGGAAGAGAGAGTGATGTGCACTTGGAGAGGGAGTGTGGCTTCATGGCCAGAGCACCCTGACATTGACATAAGAGTGAATGAAGGGAGAGTCCATTTCGGGTGGAGTCTGGATGATAAAATAAGGGTTATTTTGGGGTAATTGCCTGAAAAGAGGGGTGTTTTGGTACTACCTGCCAGGTTCAGAGCTTAGGTGACATTTATCTACCCATCTGCCTTTGTCTTGGGGGTGAGACACTGATTCTTAGGAATGAGATAGCATACATCAGTGTTACCCGGGCTTGGAAATCTCCACGGGCATGGGTAAGGGAGAAGGGTAAGAGAGAAATGGATTATGGAGGTGGCAATCTATAATTTTGGAAAGTAAGGTAATTAGGAAACAACCCGTCCTCGCCACAGCAAATTTGCATTACCTTTGAAGTTGTGCCTCTGGGAATGAAGCTGTGTGAGAGAAGTGTTCAAAGAACTATGTGCAGCAGGTAGTACAAAGCGATGAGCTCAGCACCCTGGGATTGTGGTTTGAGGGTGAAGTGTGATGCCATGTTTTTGGTGTCTTTGAGGAACAATCTGAGGGACTACAAAGGTAATGCCTGACAAGACCAATATCAAATCACTCACACTCTCTTTATGGCCAACATCTCTTCCTTCCCTCTGTTCTTGACACCCACTCTACTGTCAAGAGGAAGTATGGAGTACGTGTGAATCCCATAGCTCAGTTATGTTCTATCTGCTCAACTGCCTTTATTGTGGGAAGACAAAATATCACTAGAAATATAAGATGACAGTGACTTTCATGTTATGAAGGCCTGGCATCCTCTCTGGTGTGTAGAGTGGAGAGAGCAGATTGATGTGTATGATGGAATATGACAGAGTTGGAACCTTAGGAGTGAATCTGGTTCCGGGCTGTACTGTCCCCATTATGACAGTATATGAACTTTGAGGACGTGGACATTGCCTTCTCTCAGGAGGAATGTGGGCTCCTTGATGAGCCTCAGAGACTTCTCTATTGTGATGTGATGCTGGAAGTTTTTGCACTTTTATCATCTGTAGGTAAGACCTTCACATTCTCCCAATGTCCTGAGATGATCTCCTCTCTTCCTTTATTCCTCTGATGTAGCTTTCACTCTTCTACAGCCAGACCATGGACTCTGCTAATTTCCCCAATGTCTTGTCACATGTGCTATGGCTGCCATGGGTGAGGTCTGTGGAGAGCCCTGAGCCAAGGACTCCACAAACATCCCTAACACTCATTGCCTCAGACAGTGCAGGATGTGTCTAGGAGTCAGGAGTCTTATAGACAGCTTAATGGGTCCCACCTGCTGTTTCTCTCCCTGGGAGGATGACTTTGTCCAGATCCATGGCTTCGATTTCTACCTCCTTCCTCTAGCCAAAGGTCCTTGGTGACTGCCTGTGCCAGGTTAGGGTCTTTACTTACATGAACCTTAAACTGTACTTACAAGATCACACTTCAGTTGTTTGTAATACTATCTTCTGTAAATACAATTGCAAGCCAAATTGCTCTAGGCCAGTGCTGGCTGCCTATCTCTGTCATCTTTCATTAATACTTGGAATATTTCTGTTGTATGTATTTGTAGAGAAGAATGTGCAGGATGAACCCTGATATTTTTTACAGGGTGAACATGCAGGATGGTCTCAGAAGAGGCCTGGCCCTATTGAGTTGCAACTGTGGGCTAGATATGATGTAAGGGTGGTGTTTAGATGATACCAAGCACCTGCTCATTTCCAACAGTGTTTAGGTGCAAGTACCATGGGCAGTAGCACATTTCTACCTTTTCTTTTTATTTATTTATTTATTTTTTTAATTTTGTTTTATTGCTTAAAGTATTACAAAGAGTATCACATATGTCTCTTTTCCCCCGTCTTGACATTCCCTCCGCCTCCCCTACTGCCCAGTGTCTTATGTCCATTGGTTATGCTTATATGCATACATACAAGTCCTTCGGTTGATCTCTTACCCCCCATTCCAGCCCCCCAACCCTCCCCAGCCTTCCCGCTGTAGTTTGACAGTCTGTTTGATGCTGCTTTGCCTCTGTATCTATTTTTGTTCATCAGTTTTTAATGGTCTTTATTATCCATAAATGAGTGAAATCATGTGGCATTTTTCTTTCATTGACTGGCTTATTTCACTTAGCATAATGCTCTCCAGTTCCATCCATGCTGCTGCAAATGGTAAGAGTTCCTTCTTTTTTACAGCAGCATAGTATTCCATCGTGTAGATGTACCACAGTTTTCTAATCCATTCATCTGCTGATGGGCACTTAGGCTGTTTCCAGATCTTCACTATGGTAACTTGTGCTGCTATGAACATAGGGGTACATATATCCTTTCTGATTGGTGTTTCTGGTTTCTTGGGATATATTCCTAGAAGTGGGATTACTGGGTCAAATTTAACTTTTTGAGGAAACTCCATACTGTCTTCCATAGTGGCTGTACCAGTCTGCATTCCCACCAGCAGTGCACGAGTGTTCCCTTTTCTCCACATCCTCTCCAGCACTTGTCTTTTGTTTATTTGTTGATGATAGCCATTCTGACAGGTGTGAGATGATACCTCATTGTTGTTTTGATTTGCATCTCTCGGATGATTAGTGACTTGGAGCATGTTTTCATATGTCTCTTGGCTTTCTGAATGTCCTCTTTTGAAAGGTGTCTATTTAGGTCCTTTGCCCATTTTTTGATTGGATTGTTTATCTTCCTTTTGTTAAGTTGTATGAGTTCCCTATAAATGTTGGAGATTAAACCCTTATTGGTGATAACATTGGCTAGTATGTACTCCCACGCAGTGGGCTTTCTTGTTGTTTTGTTGATGGTTTCTTTTGCTGTGCAGAAGCTTTTTATTTTGATGTAGTCCCATTTGTTTATTTTCTCTTTAGTTTCCAATGCCCTAGGTCTAGGAGCTGTATCAGTGAAGAAATTGCTTCGGCATATGTCTGAGATTTTGTTGCCTTTGGATTCCTCTAGTATTTTTATGATTTCCCATCTTACACTTAAGTCCTTTATCCATTTTGAGTTTATTTTTGTGTATGGTGTAAGTTGGTGGTCTAGTTTCATTTTATTGCATGTATCTGTTCAATTTTCCCAACACCATTTATTGAAGAGACTATCTTGACTCCATTGTAAGTTCTTGCCTCCTTTGTCAGATATTAATTGAGCATATTGGTTCGGGTGGATTTCTGGATTCTCTATTCTATTCCATTGATTTGTATGTCTGTTTTTGTGCCAGTGCCAGGCAGTATTGAGAACAGTGGCTTTGTAATACAGCTTGATATCAGGTATTGAGATCCCGCCTACTTTGTTCTTCTTTCTCAGGATTGCTGCAGCTATTCGGGGTCTTTTTTATTCCAGATGAATTTTTGGAGAGTTTGTTCTAGGTCTGTGAAATATGCTGTTGGTATTTTAATGGGAAGTGCGTTGAATTTATAGATTGCTTTGGGTAGTATGGACATTTTAATGATGTTGATTCTACCAATCCATGAACATTGTATGTTCTTCCATCTGTTTATGTCTTCCTCTATCTCTTTTTTCAACCTCCTGTAGTTTTCTGAGTAGAGGTCTTTTACCTCTTTAGTTAGGTTTATTCCTAGGTATCTTAATTTTTTTGGTGTGATGGTAAATGTGATTGCTTTTTTAGTCTCTCTTTCTGTAAGTTCACTATTGGTGTATAGAAATGCCATAGATTTCTTGGTGTTGATTTTGTATCCTGCTATATTGCCGAATTCATTTATTAAGTCTAATAGTTTTTTGATGGAGTCTTTAGGGTTTTTTTATGTATAATATCATGTCATCTGCAAATAAGGACAGTTTTACTTCTTCTTTTCCAATTTGGATGCCTTTTATTTCTTCTTCTTGTCTAGTCGCAATGGCTAATACTACATTTCTACTTTTTTTTTTTTTTTTTGCCATACTTGACACTGTGCTAACTTGTCATTTCACCTGTGACTTCCTGGCCTTTGACTACCTTCAACTGTGTGGCCTTTTTGCATCACCTGTTCCTCTGCATTGCTCCATCTTCAGTATTCTCTAACATTGACCTGTACATGTGTTATGAGATGCACCTACAAGCTTAAATAGTTCTTGAACATCAGCTACTAATTTATTGAATAGTAGAGGCCCGGTGCATGAAATTTGTCCATGGGTAGGGTCCCTAGGCCAGGCCGGCGATCATGGCCGATCAGATTTTCTGCCTCCCCACCTCCTCCATCCCTTGCTACACGTGTGCCACCACCGCATGTTTTCCCCGTCCTCGCTGCCACCGCATGGTTCCCCCTCCTCCTCCTTCCCTCGTTGCCCACGCCCTGCTGCTGCCATTGGTCACCCACCATGTTCCGCACTGCCTCCTGGTGGTCAGTGCATGTCATAGCGAGCGATCATTTTCCTGGTCGAACTCCCGAGGGGTCACTTTGCATATTACCCTTTTATATATATAGATTACTTGGAATGAGACATAACCATATTTCAGCACAGCTTTCCATGTCACCAGCAGAAAAACCATGCTCAACTCTGTTAGCAGAAGAATGAGCTGAAGATCCTGCTTCTCTTCCACGTGGTGCTTACTGCGTGTGTCATATTTTGTTTGATATCTTCCTTGTTTTGTGATCTTCAGTAGCCCAGACCTTCATGGGAGTAGCTTATAATCATTCCTATTGATCTTTTGTTTTGAGTCAATTGCACAGAACCTAGTTATGTGCAACACACTTTTGTAAAGGAACTTCCACCTGTCACCACACTCAGCATTCAGTTCCTCACCATTTTTCTATTTTCACGTTGTTGGCATAAAACAGATGATGAGGAGACCAATTCTGAGCAGAGTGTATATGTACCATGAGAGTCATGCCAGGGCTTTTAAGACAGCCCCAGCAACCCAGAAGACACATCTTTTTCTCAGTCTTAAAAGATATTTTGGACCTGACTGAGTTACAAGTAGTATATTTTGAGCAGAAAGTCTTCATCCACAACATATATGTGCGAGAGACTTCTGTTTCATTGCAAACCCTCACCAGCAACTGAGAGATGCCAGTGGACAGAAGCCCTGGAAAGAAGATAAGGACAGGGCCTCACTTGTGTCCCAGTGCAGCTTTTACTTAATATGGGTGCCTTCAACCATTAGGGAGGTTGGGGAAGACTTTCCAGCCATCTCAGACATTCTCCAGCACCAGGCCACTTTTAACACTGGGTAGTGAGATTTCACAAGAATTTCTCAGTGGAAGAAGTCATGATGAGTGGGCTGAATGTGAAAAAGCTGCCAGCCACAACCAGAAAGTTGTTCAACATCAGGTTGTCTGCTCCAGAGTAGTGATTTATAAGTGTAAAAAATGTAGAAAAGCTTTTAGAAAAATCTTTATCCTCATTCATCATAGAAGAGTTTACACTGTAGAAAAGCAATATGAGTGTCTTGATCGTGGGAAGTCCGTCATCCTGAGGTCCAAACTCATTCAACATCACAGCGCTCACAGT